TGAGTGGCCCTTTTGCAGAATTTCCTTCGACATTCTTCTTAATCACTTTCCGTTTACCCAATAGCTCTGACCCCTATACAGAGGGAAGGTACGGCATGTACTGCACGACAATTTATGGAAAGAAGATAAACGCCATCGAGGTGAAACAAAAGACTAGTGAAGTATTTTACATTTACAGACTAGTTCCAAGCATCAACCAGGTGATCTTTGTCAATGATCTTAAAATTGAAATCAAATACTGAACGATACATATTATTGCTTCACAAGGGTGCTGCAACCGAACTGACTTCATTTTGTTTATTAAATTGATGCATAACTCCTCGTGTAGCCCCTCCGCTGGCTACTGCTGATTCCAAGCCCGGATAAAGAAGGAGGGTTGGGTTTATTGATCCTATCCCGTAGAAAACTAACTTCCTACAAAGCGCTAAACGGAAAAATACTTCAAACCATTTAAACTTTGCCCTGTGAGTCAAAAGGTCTTTATTTAGAAGAGTTATGACGCCTCATAGTGAAAGCCGAGGTCCTTCGGAAGTCACGAGACTGATAAAATAGATTGATGCACGCTCTATTCTCACGGGAGATGAGTCTTCGGAGAGGCCGATGCGTCAGCACGAGTTAAGTAGCTTAGAGTTAACCGAAGACCTTTAGGTTGTATCAAAACATTAAAGCTTAAATATCTAGTTACTTCCTTATTTTGCACAGGCATTATATTTCCCATTATCTCCCGTTAAATGTTGGGACGAGGGTTTGCTTAAGTGACAACAACTCACTCCAACAGTGTCACTCCAACATCAGAATGAAAATCTATTACAATCACTATTCAGGCTATCCCAATATTTAAAACGATGGTAACTTCCAGCATCAAAGTCTCAAACCTTGGTGAATCAGGTTCTATCAACATGGAGTGCAGACCATCGGCCTAACTTCATTTTCAGAGTGACACCGTTCGTTCTGTCTTCAGAACAGCATGGAACTTCCTGAATATAAAAAAGAAAGAAACAATTATTTTGACCAATCCACAAGATATGACGTATTTTTACATCAAGAAGCTTTCCGCCTTTAGATAGCTATGCCATAAAACAATGTAAATGACCTTAAAATCAGGGTTTATTGCATCAACTGGGAGAAAGAATAAAAGAATTTTGACTCGTGATTGAAATTTTGATAATTTCAATTGCCTTAAGAATGTATGAAAATACATCTTCATCAGTTACCTAAATCTTCTTCCGTACATCAGATAATTATAGTGAACAAGTAGTCTGGACATCAACATCGAATAAATCACTTAACATAAAGGGTTTGGTTGGAAAATCAATAAAGTTCTCACTTTATTCTCGTAGTGAGGAATATATGATAGATAAAATGGAACTGAAAGATACTAGTTTCCCTTTATTTTACAGCTGTTAGTCCGAAGAAGAAATCCATCATTATTGAAAGATATATGTAACTGCTCGTACGTAGAAGTGTGGAAAGGAAGATTTCCAGACTGAAAACCTAAAAAGATGTTATTTTTACGTCATTCCGGGACGCGACCTCATAATAATGAATAATCAAGATGTTTCAACTACTATACTTCTTGAAATTAGGGAGAACGTCAGTCTTGAGCGTCTGCAAAACACTTGATTTAAGGAATTTATTTGCTTCCACTGTAGCATACTTAACTCCCTATGTGGCTTTGTACTCGTCCGTGTTATCTCTTTCCTACAAATCTACAGACGCTTCAATGCTTACTAACCTGGTGTCTGTTCTTATTGTAGATTTCTTATTCGATAAAATTTTAGGATATTGATGCCATCATTAGATGAATTTTCAGGCGAACAAACACACTTAATGGTTCTAAATCTAAATCTCTTTTATACCAGCCTGTATGACTGCGTCAGTTGGTTGCTAAACTAAATTCATGAAGTACGTGCAATGGCTGTTCATGTTGTCATAATTCATGTTGAAGGTTAGTCGTGTACATGTATTTATGTATGTATGTATGCTTGTATGCATTTATGTATACATATAGTAATGTGTGAGAACATCTATCTCCATAGATAAAAATCATTTTTCATTATAATTTTGACAAAAAGACTTACAGTCCTTTAGCTTATGCGTATAACTTTTATTTTTCCTCTAAAATGGTATGTATTTCTGACAAACAGTTTAGCCAAATATAACTTCACCTTTGACACTGAATTGCATTTTGCAGAATGCCGTATGGTAAGTTATACTACATTAACTACCTAACAATAAACCGAAAGTTTGTAATTCGCTTGTCCAAAGAGCAAGCAGAATGAGCATCAGTTAATAGCAGAAACCTTCACTCAGTCTTGTGAAAACTAGACAGAACTAGTTTTCCTAGCCATAGGACCTATACACGTGACCGAGAATATTGTTCTTCCTTTGATATCTAACCTAAAACGTTGTAAGATACCGGGCCCCGATGGGTTACACCCACGTTTGCTGTCATCGCTTGCGGACATTATCTCAAGACCGCTCACGACGCTCTTCAACATGTCCCTTTCACGTGCTCAACTACCTAGAGACTGGAAAGACGCCATAGTTAGTCCTATATTTAAGGATGGTCAGAGATGGATCGTATCTAACTACCGGCCTGTTAGCCTGACCAGCATAGTAGTTAAGTTACTTGAAAAATTAATTCGGGCTAAGCTACTAAGCCACATAGATTCGTACAATCTGTTAACTCCCGAGCAACATGGGTTTCGTAAAAAGCCTTCATGCCTGATTAACTTACTCATTGCGAGAGAGGATTGGACAGCTACCCTAGACAACGGCCTGTCTGTCGACGTGATATTCATAGATTTTAGCAAAGCGTTTGATAAGGTTTCACACTTAGGTCTTATGAAAAAGCTCTCGAGCTTTGGAATAACAGGTGCTATACAGGAATGGATAGGAAGCTTCTTATGTGACCGCAGACAGAGAGTAATGGTCAATGGAACGCTATCCGAATGGAAACCGGTCAAAAGTGGTGTACCCCAAGGCACCATCTTAGGCCCTCTACTTTTCCTTCTGTATATTAATGAACTACCTTTATTACTTAAGTCGTCGACGTTATTGTTTGCGGATGATGTTAAAATTTGGAGAACAATAAGGAATGAAACTGATCGTTGTTATCTGCAAGCAGATTTAGACGAATTAGTTAGGTGGGCTCATGATTGGGGCCTGGAAGTTAATTCCAGGATGAGCGCGTTCATGCACATCGGGCACGATATTAGTCACCACTATGCCATTAATGGTACATCTTTGCCACGCGTTCAAGAGCACAAAGACTTAGGAGTAATTTTAAGTCACGACTTGAAAACTACTACGCACTGCAATGCGGTTGCTTCCAAAGGCTATCCCGCGATATGGTTGCTTCTCAGAGCATTTAAATGCTTCGACGAGGATATGTTTCGAATTTTATATCCCACCTATGTAAGGCCACACTTAAAATACTGTTTCCAAGCAGGTAGCCCATGTCTGATAAAGGATACCAAATTGCTTGAGGTGTCCAGAGTGTGGGGACAAAATTGGTAAAGGGTCTTTTTAAACTCCGTTACGTTGAGCGTTTAAAACGTCTAAATCTTTTCCATTTATCTTATAGTAGGACACGAGGTGACTTTATACTGGCATTTCGTATCTTTAATTATGATCTGGGTGTTAATATGTCTTATCTTTTTGCTCCCTCCAGCACTAATAATCTCCGAGGTCATAGCAAGAAGGTTCTGAAACCGCGAACTAACAAACTAAAGGTGGGGTCCCGTTTTTATCATCGAGTGGTCAATGACTGGAAAGCTGTACCAGAACAAGTGATATTAGCACCAACAGTGAACATTTTCAAGAAGAAGCTGGACCTTCACTGGAAGGAAATCTGTCAGGATTAACACAGGTTCATCGACCTACTATCCTTATTACTGAAGACTGAAGACTAATGACGTTCTGTTTTTTAATTTAAGCGCACATCAAACAGATCTGACACTTATCACCTCTCTATGATAGCGAAATACCGACATCATTCAAGTAATTGAAATTTAATTGCAGCTTTCAAAGACGTCTGAGGATTAATAATGCTTATTTTTATTAAGATTATTAAGATTTTTAGGCTGGTTACTACCAATAAGTCAAATAGTCGGGTGTTGGGGTTTGGTTTTATGTTTTACTTTATGTACATCAATGGATATTGAACATAAAAATATTCAGCAGTGCGTCACCAATGGAATATTACTCTCGCAAGCTCATGAAAAGTGACCTGACAGACAGTGAAAGCCATGAATTTAGCATGGCTTTGCATTGCCATTTAGAGACAGCTTATTTCTACGGAGTATGATGTTCGCTTAGTAGAGATTTCAAATTCTTTGATGAAGACAGATACCTGATTTAATAATTTATCTATGTTAGACTACCTAAGGTTGTTAATATTTACCAGTGTTCTTGGCACGTGAGAACGAGGTTAGAGAGAACATTCAGAAATAATTTATTTCCACTTGTAGCAGAATTCAAAATGGAACTACATGGGGTTCCGTGTTTCAAACAGTGAATTATAAATAAAAATGTCATAACCTTCGGGTCTACTTTAGGACGTTTGTCATCAAACGTTTTGCGAAATCGTTCGAAAATTGTGAAAAGTAGACTCAGGCCCATTTAATTATAGTGTCACTGGATTCGTTTAGACTGAAGGGAAGTTCACCTACAAATAAACAAAAATGTATTGAGGTTTTTGCAGATAAGTGGCTAGATTTTTTTTACTTTGAGCTATGCCAAAGACTGAGAAAATTATTTAGACTTGAAGAAGCTAGCGTAAGACAAATATTTGCTTTTTCGACTTATACAAAGAAACTGGACTTTGTTGTATGCTGCGCTCAATACAGGGTTATGTGACCTTGGATTCCGCATCACGCGCGAAGATTGAGGAGGTGACGTTCTCCACCTCATTCTGATTGGTTGTTAAGTTGACTGCTGAAATTACGAACTGGAATTGAGTTTGTTTCCAGTCGTAGATACCTTAGCATTGTATTATGGGTTCTCTCCTTGAAGCAATAGACGACCATGTCGTCGTTTTCATGTCACTTCCCGCTATTGTTCTGTTTTTGATTGCCGTTGGATTCCTTTGGTATGCACGTCTTAATAATCATTGGATTAATCATGCGACCGTAGGGGATATTTTCGATCACCCCCACGTCCTAGGCGAATTACTTATTCTTCGGCGAGAATTAGAAGTATCAGCAATTCAGATTATGATTGCCCGATATGTATGGAATTCCCTTCCCTCATGATTGAGACAAACTGTTGTCATCGTTTTTGTGGTAAGGCATTGGTTCAGATGTTAGTTTATTTGCTACCCATTTATGCAATTGATTTCTTATTTTGATCTTCATTCGTTGTATATGGATAATTTTCAAAATATTTTGAAAATTATCCATAAGGGTAGTTTGTTACATATGTAACAAACTACCCTTGAGAAAATCTGACTGTTTACTCAGGTCGGAATAGGGTCATAAATTAATGTGTAGAATGAGACGATGTTAAAGATGAAAGTTAGGGTTGAGAATTAAAGTGAGTTATCCCTTCACGGACTGACGTCAGCCATAGTGCTTTATTGCTACTTAATTGTGTGGACAAATACTTTCTGGTGGCAAGCCCAAAACATACTACTTCAAGTATGATTGTTTATCCCATAAATTATAGTATCACTGCAAAAGTAACTATTAGCTCGACGTTTTTAGAGCAAGTCTCTAATGTAATCGGCCTTACATTTAGCAGCTTATAGGTTTACTATCATCAAGAATTAGTAAATTAACTGACTGGTCGACCACTTGTAATCAATCTGTTGTCTAAATGAGCTTAGTTTACAGGTAAAACAACTCCATATCCACAAACTACTTCTATACCATGGATAACTGGGGTTAAGTCTACCAAAGTCATAATGGTAACTAAGATCGTCTGTCCATACGTAGTCTAAACTTAAATGTAGTCGTTAAGATGTTTCTACTCGAATATACACCTTGTGGTTTTTCTTGTAAGGTCCCAGTCATAAAAACGGGAAACAGACATTTCAATATGATGTGCTTGACTTTTTCACTCCATCCGTACAGCCATGTAACTATATCAAATTACTGGAGCAGTTATAGTTAAAAATACATTTTGTGTCAATTAAGCTATAATTCTTTGTCATTATTATCTATGCTGGAAAAGTGAATGGTAAAATAAGATTTCTCAAATATATTCAACCATTTATTTATTATTTATCTGAACACAAACATTGGTACGAGGAGGCACCAAGTGCACGTGTGTCACACTTCGTCATTCTACTTGTGTGAAGGCTAATTATTATTTTTATTTATTTATTTAAACATAAATATTGTTACAAGGAAGCACCAGATAAATATGCGCCTCAAAAATCTCATTCGATTTGTGTGAGGGCTGTGATACTGTCCAGGTGCCCAGACTGAAGCAGGTGATTTTCTTAGGGGGCCACACCCGGAGCCTTTGACCTAAAGGTCTAGTGCACAAGGCAGTGGAGCATCGTAAGGAGATGCAGTCCCATGGTAGCCGGTGACCAACAGTTGGTTCATACCCCATTCGTTCCTTCAGGATACTGGAGCCCATGTGCACCATTGGTTTGGAATGAGGGTTTTCCAACTCCCCTAGGTGGATCCTCCACATCCACCGACCCGGTTAAAGCGCCGAACATTGGCTTTTCGTCCTCTCACTTTTGTGAACAACACCCCTGCCACGAGAAGGCAGTGAGTAGGACTTCCCTGTCAGAGGCTATATATTCGCGTGGCCATATGAGAGTATTTCGTGAGGGAGAGCAGACTCTCCCCACTCTCGGCCGTACGAGGGCATTCGGGGGCTAAAAGTTTCGGGCTCGTGAAGGCTAAAATACTGCCCGGAAGCCCCAGAACCGAAATAGATCATCAAACCATAAATATTGCTCATGAGACTCAAGTTTCATTATAGATAACTGATCAAGAGGTATATTTGGTGTTTCAGGACAATAGGAACCAGCAGTAATGAGTAGTTTCACTGGAGAATTATAAGCTATTGATATTTTGTTAGTGTGATCACCAAGTCATTCCACAACAACCCACAGTACGACTTCCGGACCTCCTTGTTCTCAGGTGGATTACTGAGTGACCCCTCAGTCTTGTCTATTCCCCTCGGTAAAGCGCATCTGATCAGATTCATGCATAAATGAAGTTTGGTCTTCATCTTTCAATAATAGTGAGTAACGTGAACATATGTTTCTCGTGTTAGGTTGGAATCAATTAAATTTCTGTTAGGGTCACCCTAGGATTGGAAACACACACAAAGTTCTACTCTCAGTGGTTTTATTTATACCGCTGTACCTAAACCCCAGATTGGACAGACTGCGTCTACTGGAAAGGCACTCAGGTGTGAACACCCATTTAAAACCACAAAGTGATGTTTCATGTATCATACTTTGACTGTAGTCATATGAAAGGAAACGGTTTACTTCGGTTGTTATGCACACCCGTGGTGTATATTTCAGTATAGAAGCTAACAAGTTCAAAATAATTGTATGTCGAGACATGGAAGCAAGCTCATAGATAAGATAACAGCTCAGTGGTTAGTTTATCCTTATAACGATTTAATTACAGTGGTAGAAAAATTTGATTATGCTCGGCATTTTGAATATATATCTATATATATGATTTATAATTTTTAGCTGAGTGTTTTATTCTTCATTGGAAACGGACAATATATTCTCGTGTTATATCCTGTCCTATGTGTCGTGGACAAGTAAGTACGATAATTTTAAATATCGTTTTTAACTTTTAGTGCTCGTTAGGTAAATTTATGACCACAATTAATGGCTAGCTTACAAAGTCATATTAATTACTCTTAGTTAAAATTGATGTTTTTTCAGTTCATTAATTTTTTTCTTAATGACCAGTGAATGCTCCTTCCTTCAATCTAATTAATGCTTGAAATAATTAATCTATTGCGGAAAAAAACTTATGAAAGCCTGTTTTTAGATAGCATGTTTACTTTGTGAAGATTAATATTTTATTATAAACATGTTTAAGCGTTCCTTCTAACTATTTATTATTCTGCATTGTGATTTGCAAGTATCAAGTATGCTAACATTATACAATGATGTTATGTGTTGAGAAGTTGACTCCATACTCACTGGGCGTTTCCGTCTGTCTTGTATTGTTGTGAAGCTCCAGTTTCATGATTATCGCATCCAATTTCCAACTATTATTTCATATGTTCCAACTCTGTTCTTTCTACGAAGGTTTCTACACTAAGACAGTAAAATTAGGTTTTACATAATTCGTGTGGCTCATAACTGGGGATTTCATGAATTCAATTAACTGTTAAGTCCATACAATGTTTAAATCCAGCTATACTTGTCTCAAGTTCGTTTTTATTTAGGCTAGGGTTTTCGGTGAAACATAAGTCTTGACTTTTCGATAGTGATGAGTTATGCTGCGTAAAATGTCTTACTGATAGCTAGTTTAAGTCTTTGTTCCATCATATGACTATTAGAGTTGTTTCCGAATAATTGTGTGATGTAGACTCGCTTTTTGAATGTCAAAAGCGTACTGGATCCCGTCGTACTTCTGCCTTTCTATAAGCTTATAAACTTTAATCAACAACTATCATTCACCAATGTTTCAATTAAGAGCTTTACTCCTCCCTCAGTAGTATATGTAGTGCGAATACTATTAGTTCCACTGAATAAGCCCTTTATTAACCTACGTCTGTCCTGGACCGGACAGTGATTTGTGAACTGAAATGTTGTCCTATCCATGTCGGCTTTATTTACACGGAATGTGTGAAGGAACCATCATTCTTCCACTAATTAGTATATTTAGAAAGAGGAGCTGGTTATTCATCTCTTCACATGTAAGACAAGCATGCTTTTGAATTGTGTTGAGTTCCTTAAAAACTGGTTTACATCTTCGCATTTATCACCGCTTACATAAACACATCTTTTGAATTTAGTCTTCAACTAGATTTTCTACATATTCTATAAACACATCAACCAGGAATTGTCATAATTACGCCATCAATCTTTCAAATAAACCCCTTCCAAAGGTGATTTCACATTGTTAGAGCATAACAGTAATAATAAATCTTTAAGACTTTTTACAGGAAATAGGAATGGAAGCTTATTTAATAAAATATAGCCATACAGAATATCAATAGTCTTCCTTAGAGATACATTTGCAAATAATTCGTTTACAACAAGAGCGCCCATTGTCTTAGCTTGCATGCTATTCATTAATTAGAATGAGTCTTTCAAATAATACTTGGGAAATTGGTCGCAATTAGGGTTCAATACTTTTCTCAACTATTCTGCAAGTTTACTCATAGACGACTTGTGGTGTGAGCTACTGATATCGACATAAGTAGTATATATGGTGAGTAAGGAATAGAATATCTGACAGCAGAAGATTGAGAAGATCAAGAAGAGAAGAACAGAAATAAAAAGCAATTTGTGTGGAAATCCAGGAACAATGAAGCCTGAGGCAATTGAAGAACATTTTGCAAATAGTGTATCATAGCATGGTTTTTGTATTTTACCAAGTAACGTTGTAATTTGTGCTAAATGTATAGTTGGTTGTCCTCACCTGTGTTCTCATTCACAACAGACTGACAATTGGATAGAATTGAACGTAAGAAGGTACTGGGCTTATGAAATCTTGGTAGTCCATATAAATGTTACATCGAATCCATAGGTTTTGAAAATAGATTTTTTTTATTAATACCGTTCGTGTTAAGTAATTTTATTGAATTCGAGTTGACTTTTCTTCGTAATTTCATAATCTCAGAGTCAACATCGGGAATACGTTTGCTTTCATTGCTGAAATTGGATACTGTTTTTATTTTTTTAATCTGATATAATTCATAAAAGCAACGGCTGACTTTTTATCAGGTTTAACCAGAATAATATCAGTATTATGTCGCAATTCTTTCGATGATCTGAAATGCCAAATTTATTATACTTCTCTGCTTTGGTCTAGGAATATGCTATGTACTATACCCACTATTTTAACTTTATTCCAATTTTGATTCTCTTGAGATTTACAGGCTAAACTACTTAGCTGGTCATAAAGGTTTTCATATAGGGCCTTGATTGTCAGTTCATACATTTGTGTTGTAATGATAGAGCTCTTTGAGGTCTTTTAACTAGACATTTTTATTGGGAAGGATGCTGCTAATTTCCTATAATTTCTATAAATATAGTTATTTGATTTTAAGTGTGAAAGTTTTCCCAATTGGGATTTCATTTGTATTACATTTATGCTAGTATTTGAGGGTTGCTTCACAGCACCGTAGTTACGGTACTTCCTCTTGGGTTGGATTTGGATAAAATACACAGGATCTTCAAGACTGTTTAAGTGAAAATGTAAATAAAGTTTTGTTTTACTAATTTCGTAGACATATAATGATACTAAAATAAAATATAATGATACCTCGGCCAGATAGATCAATATCAACACTTTGGGATTTGAAAGTAAACTGATTTCTTACTAGACTGAATTTGTTTAAAGTTAGCAACCTAATTAAATCAGATAAACATAAGCGGTCACGACAAAATATTAAATCTTTCGTAACGGAGCAAACATACTCAAATGTTGTTTCTGCTAAACAATATGATAGTTCATTGCTGATTGAAATCATATGATCTAAGTCTGTTGGTATATCAGATTGTACATTTCGTGAATCGTGAAATTTCAATGTTATTTGAAAATTTCAGAAATCAATGGCTAAAAATTGTAAACGATGTACCTCAAAAGTTTAATAGACACTTGAATTTTTTAAGCAGTTCTAATATATGAGAGATATAGTCATAAAAACAAAACTGACTAATAAGACGAGTAGTTTCGTCACAGAATCAATTCTCATATCTTGACGGAATAAATTTCAGAAGGTAGAACCACTATCCAGTTGGTGATTGAATGTGTTTATTGGGTAATCAGAACTGTTAGTTATTTGGAAAATATTCATTCATAATAGTCTAACAAGGATTTATTTATTAAGCGATAAATAGAAATTAAGGAGTGAAAGTGAAGACTATGAGGGGAATAGTGACTTCTTTCCATGTATACCCATTTTTATCAAAAGAATCGGATGAGCCTATTATATATATATATATATATATATATATATATATATATATATATATATATATTCCTCGGGAAAAGCCTACAGCGGCCCTAAAACACTGGGAAACATTTTACCCAATCAGCATTGAATAGAAGTTTCTCAAGAACATCTAGAAGTTGAGGCGTTACGTGTCATATTTCTGATTTGATGATTACCTATCCTGCTATTATGTTTAGTAAGGTTACAGAATCCTCCAGAAGCCCAAGGCCATCTGAAATACTATATATACCCTCGATTTTCTGTACACAAGCTGACCTTGGAGTAAGGTGTTTTTTCTACGTTTCGTGTCATATAGGTTTAGTCTAAGGTTACTACAGGTGCTCAGGAAACTAATTTAAGCGTTCAGTCAGAAGATTTATCACAAATGACTATATTGATTCAAAGATTTTCATACAATGCTGTTAGTGTACTAACTTTTTCTGAATAGTGGTTGTTTGGTTGATCACATTTCGACTAGTGATTCACTTATAGAACCGTTGAAATAATCAATCAATATTTATGATTCATTACTTACAACTTATTTAGTTACAGATGATATATCTTAAATTTTTATTTACTTTTTATGTGGTGTTCAGGTTTCAACATTGACTAAATTATTCACTGCAGAAGAGTTGCAACATGAGAGCACCAGACGATCAAAAATTGAAGCAGATTTACAATTATTTAATCGTTGGCATTCAGGTGAACCGATTTCAGTAAGTTTGTTTAAAGAAAGTAAATAAAAAGTATATTTATCATTTTTCTGATAATTACTTCAGTTCAGAATACTTTTAATAAACTTGGAATGTACGTAAATTATTTTTACGATGCATTTAATAACTAAATTATTTATATAATTCTATCGAGATTTCAGATAATTAAAAGTCAGTTTACATTATTGATTGACATTAATTTGAGCAACCTATTTGGTTGATATTTCGCACTATTCTCTATGGTTGACTCCATCGTATTCCAGGTGTGAAATTTGTAGTTGGTTGTCAATTAAAACGAAACATAAAATTCGACTATGAATGTATGCCTTTTTGTTGACTGAACTCGAAAGCTACCCTGATGACAGACCACTTTCGATGTGTTGGACAGAAGTGTGCTTTGTGATTGTCTAGTGAAGAAGAGTGTGCTTGGAAAGTTCACTAGCATATTGAAGCCCTTATATACAAAGACCTCAGACAGAGTGAAAACATACAACCACTTCTCTTCACTGTTTCATTCTGGCAGTGAGGTATTTATTATTTATTTATTTAAACACATAAATATTGGTACAAAGGGGCACCAGATACATATGCACCACACAAATCTCATTTGAGTGTGAGGGCTGGAATACTGCTTGGGTGCTCAAACCGAAACAGGTGGTTTTCTTAGGGGGCCACATCCGGAGCCTTTGACCTAAAGATCTGATCCACAAGGCAGTAGAGCATCGTGAGGAGATGCAGACACATGATAGCCACATGATGACCAACGACTGATTTATACACCGTTTGTTCCCTCAGGATACTGGAGCCCATGTGCACCATTGGTTTGGAATCAGGGTTTTCCCACTCCCCTAGGTGAAATTTCCGTGTTCACCAATCCGGTTAAGGTGTCGGACATTCGCTTTTCGTTCTCTCACTTTCGTAAACAACAGTAGTGCCACGAGAAGGCAGTGAGTAGGACTTCCCTGGCAGAGGCTATATACGCGCGTCTATGTGAGAGCATTTTGAGAGAGGGAGTGGACTCTCCCCATTCTCGGCCTTACCAGGGCATTAAGGAGCAGAGTTATCCAACCCCACCATTCCTCTGCAACTTTACCGTCGATGACACTGGAAACAGCTCTGATGAAGTTAGTTATTGTTACCAGAAGAAACTCCCCGACCTTGTGGATGATATTGTCTTTAATGTGTGCAATAATACTCAGGCCTATTTCATCACTCACAATTGGAAGTGAGCCGTTAGAAGTAATCGGAAAGTTCGTGTATCTGGGTAGTTGTATGAGTGCTAGTGTTGGCGTGACTGATGAGATCATTCTACGTATAATGAAAACAAAACTGACTTATACCGACCTAGGTCATCTTTGATGCTGTCGGGGTGTCCGTCTGGTTGTGAAAGACCTTGCTAACAACGCGTCTGTGAGAGCAGTTTTCTTGTATGCTTGTTAAACCTCTCCAAATTGAAGATGGCAGGCAATTCTCTGTGTTCGACGATCATTGTCCTTGAAGAATTGCTGGTATCCATTTATAACAACAGCAGTAATAATGAGGCTCACCGATATGCGTCCGTGCTCATTGACGACAATTCAATTACTGTCACCGGCTTGGTTCCTCGGACATGTTTTATGGACGTCATCCCAGTGACTTACATATCGTGTATTTAATGCCGACGCTAGTACTGGTTGAAAAAGCAGATAGCTAACTAGTTTAAGTTATGGCATCGTCATATTGTTAAATGAAAGCTGTATAGGACTGTCATCTGTCGGTCCATCTTGATTCTCTGGTTTGGAGTTCAAGAGATGATGAGAGTGGCTCAAGACGTTATTAGACACGACCCAGAAAAGAAATCAATGGCAATCTTGCTGCAGTTTACTTTTACATTCTTTGTAAGTGTAAGAACTACTTTAGCTGAAAGAATTAAAATTATTTCGTATGTGTTATCAACAAAACTGTCGCTCCTACTATACATTACTCTTGTTATGATGAATTTTTTTTATTCTCTTCAAATGTACTCCATGTTCGTCACAACTTAATCCATACTATTGTCGCGTGTATTCTGTTCAACTTACAAATAATTACAACCTACATTTTATGATTACTACTAGTTATTGAATAAAGCTACCTATTCTGATTTGCAGACTATGTGACAAAATTTCATATCGTTCACTCCAAAAATATTTAGTGTAAATTGGCTACAAGTAGTCAACAGAAAACATTGAAACCTCTAAGTAGGATACAAGTAAATTGATTATAGCTTGCAAATTGTCAACTTAAACATGAATATTTAGGTCGTTTAACCGTAATCACCAGTTATAACTAATTTGCTTCCAATATATATGTCTGTACAACAGTAGTGTTTTTCAGGAAAACTTTAATAATGTACCTTAAAGCCAGTTACTAGTTAGAGTATAATTGTTAGATAAATTGAGGAGAGTGTGTGACGAGCAATGACTTGAAATTAAATTTTTATATATTTAATAAATTTACCGGAAAAAAATACGGTTCAGTTCGTCTGAGCAGATAAAAACAATCTAAGAAAGATATTAGATAGAATACCATAGTTGAACGTTTATTTTATTTGTGATTTCCTAATATGACGGAACATATGAAGTTGCATGCATGCATCCAACTTTCCAGACTGTTACGAATAATGTAATGTCAGTGAAATTTCGACAATGCGATTTCATTGTATTTAGTGTTAATAAGATATTTTACAGAATTTTCATTATTTTAAAATGAAACTAGCTCTTATGCTCTTCCATATTTGTTTGTTTTGAATAAATTGTTCAATGTCCTAACTAGAGAAAGCAAGGTACACTGGGAGTGTGTTTTTCTACAACGCAGTCTACAGAGATAGCTCTACTGAGACTTTCCCACTTTCTTGACAGCAGACAATTACCATCACTATGGGAGTGGGTTTGTGGATTTCATAGTTAGCATCGCTTCCCGGTCTTAGTGTAACAACTAATGAGAACTAAAGAACGATGGACAGTTGTTTTGCCTTATTTCGGGACTGTAATAGTGCATATTCACGGCTCCACCAGGTTTGAACGAAAAATCGTCGTCGCTTAGCCTTTAAACTACTGAACCACTATCTAATTATCAAGTAATCTTTATGACAATAAATTCGTTTATAGAGTAGTAGCTTAAGTGGTTAACACCGCCTGTAGCTTTTCTAGAGTTACTGCCAGTCCCAAACCCGGGTAAAGGAGGAGGGTTGGGCATGGGTTTAGCGAAATACATGGGAGAACTAGCAACGACGGCGGAAAAAGCTGCAAGAGAAAGGAATATGAGACAACCATATGATACAACGAAGAAATCGGCAGGGAGATGTAGTAAACAGGAGAGACTAGTCAAGGACAAAGAAGGAAAGACAATCACTGAAATTCAAGAACAGAGGAAAAGATGGGCAGAATACTTCGAGGAACTGCTGAATAGACCAGCCCCATTGAATCCACCGAACATCGAAGCAGCCCACACAGACGTTCCAATAGATGTCACTCCACCAACGATCGAAGAAGTCACGATGGCCATCAGACAAATCAAATGTGGGAAGGCGACAGGACCTGACAATATACCAGCAGAAGCACTGAAGTCAGACATTGAAATAACTGAAAACATGCTTCACCTTCTATTCAAGAAGATTTGGGAAGAGAAACAAGTGCCAATGGGCTGGAAAGAAGGATATCTCATCAAGATACCAAAGAAAGGAGACCTGAGCAAATGTGAGAACTACAGAGGCATCAGTTTGTTATCAGTGCCAGGAAAAGTTTTCAACAGAGTGCTGCTGAATCGGATGAAAGACGCAGTAGACGCCGAACTTCGGGATCAACAGGCTGGATTCCGGAAAGATTGGTCGTGCACAGACCAGATTGCGACACTACGGATCATCGTTGAACAATCAGTTGAGTGGAACTCATCACCATACGTCAACTTCATTGACTATAAGAAGGCGTTTGACAGGAGAACATTATGGAAACTTCTTCGACACTATGGAGTTCCTGAAAAGATTGTCAACATTATCCAAAACTCATACGATGGACTACAGTGCAAAGTGGTGCATGGAGGACAGCTGCATTTCCAGTAAGGACCGGAGTCAGACAAGGCTGTCTACTCTCCCCATTCCTCTTCCTTCTGGTGATTGACTGGATTATGAAAACTTCGACATCTGAAGAGAAATACGGAATACAATGGACTTCTCAGAATCAATTAGATGGTTTGGACTTCGAAGATGACCTAGCCCTCCTCTCTCATACACACGAACAAATGCAGATGAAGACAGCAAATGTAGCAGCAGCCTCCGCATCGATAGGCCTCCACATTCACAAAGGAAAAAACAAGATTCTCAAATGCAACACTGAGAACACCAACCCAATCACACTTGATGGCGAAACTCTGGAAGAGGTGGAAACATTCACGTACCTGGGGAGCATCGTTGATAAACAAGGAGGATAGGATGCAGATGTAAAGGCGAGGATTGGCAAAGTAAGGGCAGCGTTTCTACAGTTGAAAAACATATGGAACTCAAAACAACTCTCAACTAATTTCAAGGTCAGAATCTTTAATACGAACGTCAAGACAGTCCTACTGTATGGAGCTGAAACGTGGAGAACTACTACGGCCATCATCAGGAAGGTACAAGTATTTATCAACAGTTGTCTACGCAAAATACTCAACATCCATTGGTCGGATACCATCAGCAACAGCGTTTTATGGGAGAGGACAAACCAGCTTCCAGCTGAAGAGAAAATTAGGAAAAGACGTTGGAAGTGGGTCGGACATACATTAGGGAAATCACCAAACTGCATCACGAGGCAAGCCCTAACTTGGAATCCGGAAGGGAAGTGGAAAAGAGGAAGGCCAAAGAATACACTACGCCGGGAAATAGAAGCAGATATGAAAAGGATGAATAGCAACTGGAAAGGAAGGCTCAGGACAGATTCGGATGGAGAATGCTGGTGAGCGGCCTATGCTCCTCGACGAGGGGTAACAGGCTTAAGTAAGTAAGCTTAAGTGGTTGTTTTTTTATTACGTTCCCCTCCACAATTATCAAATAATATTTGACTGTTTTCTTTTCCAGATAATTGATCGTATTAAAGACATTCCATTATTTGTTTACGGATTTATACAATTATTACTTAGTGGTGAAGGCACATTCGCTTTGATGCAAATCCGTTTAACTCTGTTGGGTTTATGCGTTTTGTTTTATTTGATTACACCATTCGATTTTATTCCGGATGTAGTTGCCGGTTTCATAGGAATTTTAGATGATATCATAGTTTTATGTATATTTATTATTCATGTTATCTCTGTGTATCAGACAATTTCTTCAAGACGATAACTGAATAGCCGATAAAAATCAATGTAAATCTTTTCCTCCCATGTATATTAAACACTACAAACACGTCTATTTCTGCGTCCTCTACAGATCATTTTATGTGACCGTCCATGACTACGAATATTTGTGCGAACTAAAGATAATATGTACATATATTTTATTCACTGTAAAAAATATTCTTCTACTGTTTAGTTTTTTTTTAATCATTCATTGATTGAGTTCAAAAAATAATTATAAGGTTTTGAGAGTGTGTATTTATTCAGACAATTACTTTATTGAAGGTTGTGAACACTGTCACTTCATTTTGATAATAAGAAAAATCAATTTGGCTTGGTTGATCGAAAGTTAGTGTCTATGTACCAGTAAAAAAAACTATAGGAACCGTGTCATCTAATCGAACCTAACAGAAGCGTTTATTTAATTTCTTTTTGTTGTTCACGCTCGAATTCAAAATAGATAATTTAACAGAGATAGATGATGGCTAGCAGTTGAATGCAGGACCTGTGTCTCGTCCGGCTGGATGTACCTGCATTTCAGAGTTGAAGTTCACTCCGGGACTCGAACACAGTACCTTTCTCTCTAAACTCCATTGCACTATCCACTAGTTTGTGCAATGGAGATGCAGTCACATCCAGCTGACGAGTTCCAAATAAGACGGAACGCGCGTCTTGGATTCGACTGTTAGCCACCATCCATGCTTGTAACTCAGGTCAATATCGAGGCAACTTGAACAGAATGCACATATGTCAATAAGAGACCGATCAATAACAGTTCTAAACATCAATGAGGAGATTCAAACAACCAATACAAAGTAAATTTAGTTTTAGTGTTTCATGTATGATCAAGATTAAGAGTGAAGAAAGAATCGATAGAATAATTAGTTATTGCGTATTCAGTATATAATAATTCTCATGCACAAATACTGTTATTCTCAAACTCCACTTACGTATATAAAATCACCTTGCGTAGACCGCAGAAATAGCATTGATTGCACAGGTTTTTCTAGTTATCTTAGTTTAGACAACATATTCTAATCTCATGATTGTGAAAAAAAGGAAACAAGTGTCGAAACACAAATGTGTAATTTTATTAAAACAAATATGGAAAATGTGCATGAAATAATCTGTACGGATAATAAGAATAATGTTTCTAGTTCCTAGATCTCCCTCGTGTACGTTTCCTAGATGAACGACGAACACTCCTTTGTGCAGTAATTTGTTGGTTTTGTCTTTGAATTGCTGATCTTGTTTCGCGAGTATTTGGTCTAGTGTTAGGTCTTTGAGAATTCCTAGCTGTGGATCCATTATTGATAGATTCAGTAGTTAATTCTTCATTGGGATTCAAATGTCTCTGTTGATTGCGTGTTAATGGAGGTATATATGATTCTGTATCGAAAAGAAATTCATCATCAGATGGTGGATAAAAGTCCGAATCCATATCTTCATAGTATTCATCAAAGTATATACCATCAATAGAGGAGTAATAACGATCAAATGGAAAAATGGAACTTTCATCAGATTCATAATCAATAATAAAATCATCTTCTGAATCGCTAGAACCAATAAAGCGGGATAATCTTGATGACTTGTGGCGTTCGAAAATTCCTTGTACCTGAGGATTGGGAAAAGAGAAATTTCGGGAATTTAAATTTACAAAAGGTTACTCATATAAATACAAAGTACAAAACGTTCAGTAACTGCTAGCACACTATGTATCCAACAGAACGGATTTTTTGATAGTTTTTTTGTAGTTATTACAGTCTATATTTGTGATACATGGATAAATTTCAGAAGTCGATTATTATTTTGAAATAAATTCACTAGTGATCGAAATTTTAGGTCTGATTGTTTGTAGATTTAGTTTAGGTAAATTAAAGATTGTTAATTCGCATGCTCATGTCGTAATTCTACAGAAATATACTTGATAAATAGTTATTTTTCTATTTATATTTCGAATGGTTTATATGGATGTTAAAGATTGCAGTAGGCAAAATCAACTAAATGCATGATAAATAGCACGATACAATTCACTGACAAGAGCGAGATTGCACAACGAATATCTTGGGCTGTTAAAAACTTGTTTTACAAAACACTCACAAATATGCGTCATTCTAATGGATACACAGCAATAGATCGATGAAGTTAGACAGAAAACTGACTAGTATAGAACATTAGAGTGGCCATTAATGTTGCACTGAGTATTTGGTCAATAGAGAAGATAATCATGACTTAAACACGTTAGATAGCATTTAGTGCTGCATGAATATTAACGTCTTCAATAAGTAACCCAGGTTTAAAAGTATGACAAACAAAATTGCCATACTTTTTCTGTACATCGAACTGACATTGAAGATGTATACACTGTGGACATGGTAATTATTGATACAGTATAATTCATTACCGGAGAATTGTTTCATTTAGCGAGCTCTGAGTTGTTATTGAGATATTGGTGAAACCTTACATAGATGGAGACTGTTGTCAATTGTCTGACACTGTATTTAGCATCTTCAACTATCCCAAGATTTCAGAGACAGATATATTAACGACGCTGACAACTATCCAATTACTGAATAGTGTACGTAAAAAATGGTAGTCGTAATAGTTATAATAAAGTTCTTTTTATAGGTATATCTTATAGACGTTGAATTGAGAATCTCTACAAAATAATCTTAGGCGAGGTGTAGGAAAGTGAAAGAGAAACTGAATTCGCAGAATAAAAAGTACAAGCATTATCAAACAAAAAATGCATCTGTGGCATTAATGATTCTGGGCCGTGTCACTTCAACTACTGGTCATGATAACTACGAGAACTCTAACTAAGTAGTCTATACTTACATGACTTAATCCAATTATCAATGTCTTCATAAACTAAGTCTTTGTCCGTCTCTACCTAAATAATTAACTTTATTGTCAAAGGATTTTTTTAAACATATACAATATTCACAACACTTTTCCGTACCAACAACAATTCTATAAATTTTCACGTTTAAAAATAACCAATAATGAAAACAACAACTCAGTTACCCGATATTTTAAACCAGCTTTAGCTAATTTACGTAGTTCATTAAATGTTTCGTCATCAGCTTCTACTATTGGCAGAAAAGAAGAATTTAAATGTTTGCTTTCTTGTTTTTTCTGAGATCTTTTCTTGGGATGTGTAGTTTTACTCCGATTATATACCCAACAACTTATATCACCCGTTGTACCACATGTAACTATTTGCTGTTCATATGGATGCCAATTTATATCACGTATTGTATGCCCACCACATGAATAGTGTTTAACCTATAAAACACAACAATATAGTATAAACTGTATTGTTGTATTATAACAATGTTGTAGATAAACATTTGTGAATATATATAAGAAAAGCACAAAAGTTAAAGATGTAAATCAAAACACAAATATATGATATGCCACAAATGTCTGTCTGCACTTATTGGCTGGACACAAATCACTTGAAATGGACCTATTAAACTAATTTAAATGAGCTGAATACGTTCGGTCATGAACATTAATTTTCATCTACGTTCGAAACTGTCGTATATCATCGTTGTGATTCTGTCAAAACAGAACACATTTGTAACTATTGAAAGAACGAAGGAATCAGTTTCAGTAAATTGGGAAATGATTCATTTCGATATTGGTGTGTGAGCGAGAATGATAATGATTGATAGTTTGCTTAGTCAGAATAGTAGATAGTCTGACAGGTACTAGGTGAGTTATGTATTCTCTCTTACCCTTATTATTTATTGATTGTTGTTGGATTGTTTTCGGCTTTTGATTTGGAGATATATTTACGTTTTAGTCAGGCTAAACACATATTCTTGATCTGAGTTGTGTTGAAGTCTTGTAGAATAAACACTAGGAGGAAATCTAGTGTAGGTATTCGTCTAAGGCGAATTAACGTCCCATTCGTAAATATGAGGAAACGCCGAGCGTTATAACAGGTATTAAAGATACAAATATATTAAGATTTCAAGAAACAACCAATAGTCACGAAAAGAGTTGTCTACATTGAAAAAAAGACTGTAAGAAATTGACAGATTACCAGATAAAAAGGAGATAGAATGACTTACAACTTTTCCGGAATACAAATCCCATATATACCAATTACCATAAGCACTTCCAGAGTAAGCAAATCTTTGTCCAGTATTAAATGCAGGAGAAAAACGTGCTCGAATTAAAGTGTTGCGAACTTTATGTCCAGAAAGTGTAAGCACAGAGTTATCACCTCGAATAGGTTTGGAAGGATTTTGTTTGAAAGGTACCGGATCTAGGTATAATATAACATCGTAAACGTCGAAATGTAGAATTGTTAGAAAAATCATATTGAACGGAAAACATTTTGGAGCAGTAAAATTGGATTTAAAAAAGTTTACAGAATTTTGTTATTAATTATTAATTAGCTATTTATAAAATCAAATTCTGTCAAGTTTACTCCGTGCACATGAATACCAGTACAATTATCTATTAGAATAAATATGTACCACTGATATAAGAGATATATAAGAACTCTCGTCTAAATTAGAACGAATAGTTTCACAGTATTTGAGCGCCGAGTTGAAGTAAGACATTAAATAGGAATAATATATTTGTAAAATCTCAGCGAATGAATTTTTAAATTAAATCCAACGTTTCGCCTGGCAATCTGGTCCAAGCTTTTTCAAGGAATTATAATCAAACATCAAAATTATCAAATATCTGATATTTGATAATTTTGATGTTTGATTATAATTCCTTGAAAAAGCTTGGACCAGATTGCCAGGCGAAACGTTGGATTTAATTTAAAAATTCATTCGCTGAGATTTTACAAATATATTATTCCTATTTAATGATATAAGAGATAGTTCAAAATATTTTTTCCTCTCCCAAGTATACTACGAAAACATGTTAAAGCAATAAATCTAGTCACGTTGTATAAGATATAGGATTCACGGCCCAGATTGAGACTAGATAAAACTTTATTCAATGTAATTACAAGCGATCACATTCAGTGGATCCGGAGTCGAAACCAGTGAGGGGAAAGGAAATCCCATGTTTAATAATCAGTAGACTAGGTGCCTGTTTGTCCACACTCAGCGATTATTCATATTTTAATTCCACTACCACATACCAACCGAGTCAATAAATAGATGTAATTGTGAAAAGATAGAAAAAGGAGTAAAATCAAAAGCTGATAACCCGATAAAATAGGTTAATGAGAGAAATAGTTTAGTTAAAATACATATATAAATAGTTCTTTTAGCCAGGGGTGTTCCTCTCATTTTTTATCAAGAATGTAAAAGTAAACCGCAGCAAGATTGCCATTGATTTCTTTTCTGGGTCGTGTCTAATAACGTCTTGAGCCACTCTCATCATCTCTTGAACTCCAAACCAGAGAATCAAGATGGACCGAGAGATGACAGTCCTATACAGCTTCCATTTAATAATATCACGATGCCATAACTTAAACTAGTTAGCTATCTGCTTTTTCAACCAGTACTAGCGTCGGCATTAAATACACGATATGTAAGTCACTGGGATGACGTTCATTAAACATGTCCGAGGAACCAAGCCGGTGACAGTAATTGAATTATCGACACTGAGGTCGAACATACACTGCCGAACCTAAGGATTACTAGCATAGTGTTGCCACTGAAAATCAAAAAATCCTTCAGAGATAACGATGGTCGAACACAGCAACTCGCCGAACTCGATCCAGAGATATCATATTTCGGAACGATAGATTCTGAATTATCATGAGTCGTGTAACACAAAGAATACAAGCTTGGTCTTCAGTAATATTTTCGAATTTTTTAGCCACTAAGCATTCGATTAATTTGAGAAATACACATTTTTGTTGAATGTAAGTACTGTACATATTGGAAATTCTTTCCACATTTAATCCTTATGTTGAAAAGAAACAACGAAAAATTCAAGTGTTTCAGTAAGCAATCAAAATGAAACTAATACTCGATAGCCACTATGAAAACAGTATCATGGTCAAAATTTAACTTACATCCACGTGGAATCGGATGAATTCGATAATCCCAAGTAGAACGAGGAGTCATTCGCTTAAGGTGAAAAAATAACAAAGAAACATCGTGATAATGTTATTAAAGCCAATTTTGATTGTAAACAACAGTGAATGTAAACTACAGGAATGAACAGAATGTTTTGCTAGTAACAGATAAATAGATGCATAGATATATTGCATATATTATTACCAAGTCCTAATAAACAGTAACACGTTACTTTTTCAAAAAATCATTACTGTATCACTGGAATAGGATTTAAACAATATTTAGTTGATACTGATCACACTGTTGACATTCTCGCGATAAGCACGATATCATTGATAGTAGAGTATTTCAGATTTTTAAAATTGAATAATCAGTTCTTGTTGATGCTTGCAACGGAAGTTAAGTCAATAGATAAAACCCTTAATGATCGATTTCTACTTTAACCTATTTACAGAGAATTTTATGATACATGGAGTTGTTGTGATTTATAAAAATAGTACACAAAAATAGAGCAATATTAATAATAGAGATGTAACTAAGACAGTATTCGAATTTAATCACTGAAAATATTTTATTAAGAGTTGAAAGATAGATAATAAGAACTTAAGCAGACAACAAGCTGAGATTATCCGTAACATCCTCACCATTCATACGTGTATTGCATCCAACCTTATCGGCTATTTGTTTGTTCACTTGGTGGGTTGGTCCTGGATATTGTAGGGAAAGTAATAAATATGTAATTTCAAGCGTCTAGAGTGTTCACAATGAAGATATTAGTGTAGTCCGGCACAATAAGAATAAAAAACATATATAATAAAAGTTAGGGTTCTAAATGAAATGACTCTAAGAAGTAGCACATATCCACCAAATGAACGGAAGAATCTAGGGAATATGATACACTTCTTTAAAGGTTAGGAATAAACTCAGTCTAATCAAACAAATATCGTGGAATAGATACGAGGTCAATTACAGAGAATAATGTGACTACCGACTGAGGTCAGTCATGAAATTAGATCATAAAAATCTAACTAAATTCAAAGTGCTAAATACTACCGAGAACGATGAAATATCACACTACATTAAATGAAACATATATAATGCATTCTGTAACATAAGATATTGAAATGAAAAAGATCATCCCTGTAGACTGATATAATGAGCGGGAGAGGAAATTAAACTTGATAATTAGGGATTAATTTCGTTGGCGAATAAATAATCCATAGTTCCTACATCCTTCAGCTGTTTATTTGTGAAATGATTTCTGATTATGTTTATTCTTGTGTTGAATATTTGCATATATAGATGCTGGATTGTGAGAAGAAAAGCCTATTCTAATAGGCTGCTGTTAATCATTCTTATATCGTTTCGAACTGGGACACTTAGCTAAATCATATTATCGTATTTTATCCATCGACCAGCATTGGATTTATTCAGTTCAGCAACTTCAAACTTGTTAACCAAATTATAACATCCTACCTTCATAGCATAGATACATGAAGAAGTATTTAATATACAAAACTCTAAATAATTTATAAAGACTACTTCAAGTTTATAACTAACAATGCCGTTAGTGAATAGATTATTAATCAACAGCTTTCTCTGCAAAATATTTTTTATATATATTCTTTAGTATAAGCATTACAGTCAGTCAGTCAGTCAGCTACAACGTAGGACAAGGCACATATATGCATCGGTCCAAGTTGCCATACCTCGTTAGCACAAGACGAACACCGGATTCATAGAAGTAATTAATTTAGTGGTGGTAGTATATCAAGAAAGGTTGTATATAAGGATATAGTACAGGAAGGGAGATATGAAGCAATTTTAATCTCAAGGTTTAAGGGAAGATAAAGAGTGTATACACCTACGCCATTGTGATCGATTCTGAGTCATGTCACACAGAGTCTCCAACCATTGGTTACGATAGTCACGCGGACCCCAACCAGGTAGTCTGCATCTGCCAACATGGCTCAGACTAGAAGTTAGTGACTTCAAACACTGATGCCATGTTTTGGTTTGGCCGCCCCTAACTCTCTTTCAAACCATCCCCAACACTAGTCATCATAGCGCGTCGTGGTAATCGGTGTTCAGGCATACGTAACACGTGGCCCAACCATCTCAGTCGATGAAGATTCATCACCTCATCAATTGATTTACCATCGTTCCCTAATACCCTGTGTCTAACCTCACTGTTACTTACCCGGTTATCCCAGCAGATGCGAGCAATATTTCTAAGGCATCTGTGGTCAAATACTAGTAGCCTACGAGTATCTTCTACTCTTAATGGCCATGTTTCACAGCCATAAAGTAGAACAGAGCGAACTGCTGAGCAGTATACTCGTCCCTTAACTGATAGACGGATATCTCGTCTTCGCCATAGGTGACGTAAGTTGGCAAAAGCCAAACGAGCTTTTTGAATCCGTGCTGAGATTTCGTCACACACCAACCCATTAGGGCTGATCAGACTTCCAAGATAAGTGAAGTTGTCGACGCGTTCGACTACTTCACTCCCTATCCTTAGTTCGGGTGTTGACGCAGGCCAGTCCTGGAGTAACAATTTACATTTGGATGGGGAGAAACGCATCCCAAACATCCTGGCATTATTACTGAGTTCCAACAGAAGACTCTGCATTTTGCCAGCGTCTTAACCAAACAGGACTATGTCATCTGCATATTCTAAGTCGCTTAGTGGTCCCCCTGGTAGGAGATCAATTCCTGTAAATTCAGTCGACGAGAGTGTTATTTCCAGTAACAGGTCTATAATGAAGTTAAACAAAAATGGGGATAGTGGACAGCCTTGACGGACACCACTTGAGGTTGTAAAATCATATGACAGTTCGCCAAAGCATTAGTGATGGAAATTTATTTAAATCATCAGCAGGGATTTCTGTTATCCTATGTTTTTTCTCAATTATTCAAATATTGTAGCAACTTCTCCATTTGCGAATTGTTTAACTAACAAATTCTATTTACGAAATTATTTACTGACGGATGCTCACCAAAAAAGATTAATCTGTGGTCATGGTTAATAATGTAAAACTCAAAACAAAGAGCTTTCCTCCTTGTCTACACTATCAATCAGATTGAAGCGAAAAGAAAACTGAAATTATACTTCCATGAACCGAAACATGTATGCTCTACACTATCTTAACTAGTGTATGAAAGATGAGTTGAAGAAATGTTGTGAGGGAAGAGCTAACCTAAAACGTTGACAGTTAAAGATAAATAGCCGTTAACTGTTGTAAAGAAAACTAAAAAAAGTTTTTAAAATATTTGTGATTAAAAGCCACGGATGACGATTTTACGATTCGCCAGCCCCGAGCTCCAGAAAATCTACCCCAAGCTAAATATTAAGGTGTTTAGTATTTGAAGCATAGATCGAACAAAGACTGTAGAATCGCAATTCATTACACCACTTTGTTTCTGAAACGTGCAAACAATACCCAAATATTTTTATTCTCTAGGCCTCAATGCAGCCAATATGGAGTATCAGAGTGATAAACCTCCGAACTTATCCACATAAACGACAGAAGTTCCTTGTGTATTTTGCAGACGTAGATGTAAGATTGATTTCGAAGCGAACCAGGTACTTCTAAGACTAAGTTACAAAAGCCAGTGCTATTGTCTGGAACTCAAAGAAAGAGATGTAGTTAGTCAGCTCTACGTAGTCTTTGTCTACGATCCAGGTCACATGAAATTAAAATTAGGTTTCATCAAAAGTTTCCTAAGGTTATCAAGAAAGTTATTCAAGAGACGTACTGACTGTAATAGACTTTAACGTCCAAATAGTTCGACTAGGTTATGCTGGAAGTTACATGTTTTTGACGAAGGTCCTGGATTCTATTTCCTGATTGGGGTTCATGAGTGCACACTGCTGAGATGTCCCATACTAAAACAAAACACATGTCCAGTTCTTTCAGGTTTTCAATGGTGATCTAGCTAAGATTAATTTATTATGAGAACAAGAATTATTTGTGATCGTTAGTTTAACAATTAACTTATAACGTATATAAACAGACTTAATTTAAAAAAACAGAGCAATAAAATCAATACTGTTAATCACAATATCATAAAAAATAGTAGGTGCTGCTTACAGTTTCTTTTCCCGATTCCCGGCACTTTCTTGTATCCCATAGCTTAACTGTTTGATCTTTACTGTTTGACAAAAAGTACACATTATCATCCTAGAACAGATAAAATGTTTGAGGTATACTCAGTCATCGAATGGGATACGTAATGCAACGAGTGATAATTCATTGTTGGAGAAAACCAATTAACCGGCTCGTTCAACTATATTTATTCTCTGAAGAAGCGGCTTACACTGGGTTACCAAACATCAGAAAATTTAATTTTCGTACTCACTGGGATATTACAAATATATTATTTATTTATAACAATCTACCCAACACTAAATTTATTCGAAATTTTTTGTTAATAGTTAATATCACGCTATTTGGCAAGACTTTATATTTCATTCTGATACTGTCTAATTAGTTTAACTGAAGGGCTAACCTATCTACAGAAGACTATGTAGGACATCAACTTTTCAAGCTTTACCACAGTTAGTTGTGGACATACCAATTGCATTAACCAACGATCTGTTAATTCAGAAGACGATCGGTTATGTCATAAACCAATAGTTACAGAAACCTCTCGATGGAGAACTAAAACAACTTTTTCATAACTTCGAACCTTTACGTATCGTGCAGAACTGCTTAATGTTCAAGAAATGTGTAGTTGCACCAAAACACGTTTGTATTCAAGCACTACAGCAATTTCACAACGATCAATAGAGATATTATTCTCATGAATTCTAATTCTCGACGTTTCGCCAATCGGCCGTCTATGGAAACTGTCCCGCATACAGCATTGTAATCGGAGGTGGGAAAAAGTAGGTTAAATCTTAAACGTATTATTCGTTCATTGTGGTTTAAACACTGTAATCGATGGCCAGACATATCAATATTTAAGAATTGGAGTGTTGACTTTATTTGTCATGGCAACAATACTTTTAAACGTAACTCAGTTATTAGCTAAAAATCCAAGTACGCACTATGTAGTGCAGTAGATGCCAGCCTAATTAATCTTCTTTAGCTATTCAAATAAATCTTCTAATCAAGATATGATATTTCTATTCAGATTGTATGGTCATTGAGAGAAAAGCATAGAAGATTGTATGTGTTCTTTGTTCAAGGTATTCGGTGTTGAGAGAGTATTGTCTCCAGTTTTATGAAAACACTGAAGATCTCTGTAAAACGAGTAAAGAAGCTTACTATACAGACAACTAAGTTAATGGAGAGTAGTCACATTATCATCATGGCAACAAAATGATTAACATTAGGGTTAACAAAACTAATCAATTTTCATGCATCATAGACAAATGAACTATTCCAATTAGCATTTAAAATTAAAATAAATCACAGTTTGATTAATTATGAAGTATAATGAGACTTTCTGTAGGTTAGTACTAAAGATATAAACCTATCAACTCATATTTCTTATATTTTTAAAAGCTAAACATTTCCTACGAGTTTGAATGATTTAGCATGGTAAAAAACATAACTTTGAAATTAATCAAATACAGAAAAGCAACAATTAAATTAATACCTTTGAATCTAAATATGTGATACCATCCACATGTCCAGAAAACAAACTTTGACACCCTTTGTTCAATGCACGTATATCAAAAAGCTAAGAAAGGAACCAAAACACAATAATCAATATGTACAAACGCTAAAAAATAATCACCATAACGTGGACAAAAGAAAAAATTAAACGTGTTGAGTGTGAAGTAGTTGTTATCCACCGAAACCAAATGGAGGATAGTTGTGTAATATTGTGAAGTTATTTAAATTAGACATATAAACCGCTGGACGGTATTTCAGTAGTTTGTCTAGAAGTTAGGGACTCATGAGTGAAACCGAAGATTACTGAGTTCAACCTTTAGTGGCGGAATAGTGGATACCCACTGACGAAGAGTTCCATGCTAGAAAAGAAAAGCTGTTTAGCGCATTCTGATTATCAATGGATGTCTAGCTTGGGTCACTTCTGATATCAATGAAGCACACCTTTCATTTAAAACAATCTGGTAATGATAATAATAACAATACTGACAGTAATAATAATATCGATCAGGTTATCAGACCGGGCTTATTTATTTTTATTTATTTAGACACATAAATATTGGTACAAAGGGGCACCAGATACATATGCACCACACAAATCTCATTTGAGTGTGAGGGCTGGAATACTGCTTGGGTGCTCAAACCGACACAGGTGGTTTCCTTAGGGGGCCACACCTGGAGCCTTTGACCTAAAGATCTGATCCACAATGCAGTGGAGCATAGTAAGGTGATGCAGTCCCATGGTAGCCGGTGACCAACGACTGATTCATACGACATTTGTTCCTTCAGGATACTGGAGCCCATGTGCACCATTGGTTTGGAATCAGGATTTTCCAACTCCCCTAGGTGAAATTTCCATGTCCACCACCCCGGTTAAAGCGCCGGATATTCGCTTTTCGTTCTTTCAATTTCGTAAACGACGGTAGTGACACGAAAAGGCAGTTAGTTAGGACTTCTCTGGCAGAGGCTATATATGCGCGTCTATGTGAGAGCATTTTGTGAGGGAGAGTGGACTCTCCCCTTTCTCGGACGCACCATAGCATTTGGGGCTGAAAACAGGCTGTTTTTCAAGGTCGTTTAAAAGGCGTTGAAAGCCGTCAGTATGGGATCCGTGATGGAGACAAACCACATGACAGTGACCGTCTTTTCAGCTAACCAGAAAACTATTTGGTTATGAAACGATGTACAGCAAAAAAATTTCAATGTCAACGCCAACAATTATTGATGTAAACGTTACTTATCTTGATATTTCACATGTGCGAAGCGCATGAGCTCATGTGCCTATCAAATCAAAAACTTACGTTTGAAATGGCATCACATGGGTTAAAAGTATTTCTTTACTAACAGTTATGTTACCTATAGCCCCCCAAATGCCCTGGTACGGCCGAGAGTGGGGAGAGTCTACTCCCTCTCGAAATGCTCTCACATGGCCAGCGAATATATAGCCTCTGCCAGGGAAGTCCTACTCACTGCCTTCTCGTGACGGGGCTGTTGTTTACGAAAGTGAGAGGACGAAAAGCGAATGTCCGGCGCTTTAACCGGGTTGGTGGACACGGAGGGTCCAACTAGGGGAGTTGGAAAATCCTGATTCCAAACCAATGGTGCACATGGGCTCCAGTATCCTGATGGAACGAATGGCGGAAGAACCTGTCATTGGTCAACGGCTACCATAGGACTGCATCTCCTCACGATGCTCCACTGCCTTGTGGATCAGACCTTTAGGTCAAAGGCTCGGGGTGTGGTCCCCTAAGAAAACCACCTGCTTCGGTCTGGGCATCCGGGCAGTATCACAGCCCACACACAAATAAATGAAATGATGAATTCTATTGACTATACTATTCTCACTCATATTAGAAGCCAGACAATTTACACTATTATGCTTATTACCATTAATATGATTATAACAGAGTCGTTTAGGTGGCCGATGGGGACTTGTTGGTCGCAGGACAGATAACGGGGACCGTTTTCTGCAACTGTGCACAGACCACAACCTGTTTCTGGCCAGCACTAACTTCCGGCACAGTCATCGCCGGTGTGCCACCTGGCGTCCTCCCTCTGCATCCCAAGCCTGGACTCAGATTGATCACATCGCGATCAGCTACCGCTGGCGTGGTTGTGTACAAGACTACCGCTCCTTTTGGAGTACCTATCTGGAGTCTGATCATGCCCTGGTCTGCGCCAATCTCACCTTACTTTTCAGTGGCCGAAGGATTGACCACCACCAACGGATTGATATTAGTAAACTGGCTGCAACTTCTGTTGCAAGTAAGTATCGAGCTGAGTTAGCCTCTAGGCTAGCTACCACCCCACCGAAAAGTATTGATGAGCATTGGTTGCATCTTCACGACGCCATGAAAATGGCGAGTAAAGCCGCTTGCGGCTTCGCGAAACGTCCCGCTTACAAGCACTGGGTCTCTTCTGGCTCCTTACAACTGATGGAAGCCCGTCGGTCTACTCCGGGTGACCGTGAGTTTGACCACAAACGAAGGCTGTTACGTAATGAAATCGGGCAAAGCTTGTGTAAGGACCGGGAAGCCTGGTGGTCGGAGCGTGCTAATGAGATGGAAGCAGCAGCTGCATCTGGTAACTGCCGGAAGCTCTTCCAACTCATCCGAGCCACTGGCAGCAAGAAGTCTGGTGTGAGTGAAACAATCTACGAGGATGACGGGATGCCAATCACTAACATCTGTCGACGTCTTGGACGATGGGCGGAATTTTTCGAAGGGCAGTTCAACTGGCCTGCTGCTCCGGCAACATCAACCAGCTTGTCCTGCTCCCCATGGCCGGTGACGACTGATCCACCAAACGAGGCGGAAGTCCGCAAGGAACTCCAACTCTTGAAACGTTACAAATCACCTGGCCCAGATGACTTACCTCCGGCTTTTTTTAAAGATGGTGGTGACTTTCTGGCTAAGGAACTGACTGCGTTGTTTGGAAAGGTTTGGGAGCAAGAAAGTGTTCCAACATCTTGGAATGAGTCAATAGTCGTCCCTATCTTCAAAAAGGGTTCACGTTGTTCCTGCAATAACTATCGGGGGATAAGTCTACTTCAGATTGCGTCCAAACTATTGGCTTCTATCATTCTTCGTAGGTTGTTTAAAACCCGAGAACGATTGACTCGCGAGGAGCAGGCTGGTTTTCGTTCTGGTCGAGGATGCATTGATCACATCTTCACCATCCGCCAAATGTTAGAACACCGTCATACTTATCGCAGGCCAACAATCGTAGTGTTTCTTGATATCAGGGCGGCCTTCGATTCGTTGGACAGGACTGTTCTCTGGGATTGTCTATTGAAGAAGGGTGTGCCTGAGAAGTTCATTAACATCTTAAAGGCCCTGTATACGAACACCTCAGGCAGAGTGAGGGCATACAACCACCTTTCTCCCTTGTTCCATTCGAGCAGTGGGGTTAGGCAGGGTTGTCCGATCTCACCATTCCTCTTCAACTTTGCCATCGACGACATCCTAGAAACAGCTCTGATGGATGTAAGTAATGGCGGTGTGGATATGTTGCCTGGAGAACGACTTCTCGACCTTGAGTATGTGGATGATATTGTCTAACTGTGCGATAATGCCCAAGGCATGCAATCAGCACTTAATCAGTTGGCAATCAGTGTCCGCAGGTACGGCATGTGCTTTGCACAATCCAAGTGCAAAGTACTCCTACAAGACTGGTAGGATTCTAATCCTGTACTCACCCTGGATGGTGAGGAGATCGAAGTAGTTGAGAAGTTCGTGTATCTAGGTAGCTATATAAGTGCTGGTGGTGGCGTGAGTGATGAGATTGATGCACGTATAATGAAAGCCAGAGCGGCTTATGCCAATCTGGGCCATCTTTGGCGCCTTCGTGATGTTAGTCTGGCTGTAAAAGGTCGGATCTACAACGCGTCGGTGAGAGCAGTTTTGCTCTATGCTTGTGAAACCTGGCCTCTCCGAGTTGAGGATGTTAGACGTCTCTCTGTGTTCGATCATCGTTGTCTCCGAAGGATTGCTGACATCCAGTGGCAACGCCATGTTAGTAATGCAGAGGTTCGGCATCGTGTGTTCGGGCGCAGAGACGATAATTCAATTGGTGTCACCATCTTGAAACACCGACTTCGGTGGCTCGGACATGTTTTACGAATGTCGTCCCAGAGACTTCCGCGTCGTGCATTATTTGCCGACCCTGGGACTGGTTGGAGAAAGCGGAGAGGAGGTCAGTGTATGACATGGTGTCGTGGCATGAAAGAAAGCTGCAAAGGGCTAGCTTTTGTTGGTCCTTCACGACTCCCTGGTTGGGGTTCGAGAGATAGTGCAACACAGTGGCTAGAGACGTTATCGGATATGGCTCAGAATAGAAGCCAGTGGCGATCCTGCTGCAACCTTCTTTTACTTTCTACATAAAGAATGGTTCTAACTTTCCTAACTGAAAGAGTCTTCTGGTTGTACATTTCAGCCCGCCTTATCTTTTCATCCTTTATCTACCTACTTTCATTATTTTGTGTGGCGCATATGTACCTGGTGCCCTTTTGTACCAATATATATGTGTTTAAATAAATAAATAAATAAAAAATATGATTATTATTGTTATCATTATTATTATTACTATTATTATTATTTACTACTTCGCTTTTTCACCCCTTTTATCCCCAATTTGTGTAACCTTACTTTTCAACTTATACAGCAGCTCGCTCTTGGTGGAAAATCTGTCCTATCTAAACGATCTCCAGTCACTGTCTGGTTGAAAGTGAATGCTTCCACCGATTACGAATACTGAAGCAGTCTTTCTGAAACCACGTACGCCGTTCAAGCTGGCTTCCTTCAACGTTCGCACACTAATGAAGATCGGACAACAGATGGGGCTGGCTATGTCTTTGGAAGGTCTTAATGTTGATGTTTGTTGTCTATCCGAGACCCGTATTCAAGACTCTAGTGAAGTACTACAAATCCGCTCTCCATCTGTCTCGAAAAGCTTGTTCCACGTGCGCTTATCCGGGGACCCTGTGGCATCTTCGTCTGGTCTTGCTGGCGTTGGTGTCGCACTAAGCGCTAGGGCTGAGGCAGCACTAATCGATTGGATCCCCATTAA